AAATAAATAGACTTATAATATAAGTCGGTGATTATTAGGAAGCAAATGTTTAAACTCATCAATTACATCATTAAGTCAATACCAATTAAAAGTTCTTGTTCAACAAACAAAAAAAGAAGCGCATCCAATCTTTGTTAACATAGTATTTCTTAATTTGTTTTTTATAGTTTGTTTTTTTTGAAAAACTAGTTTCACAACTACAACTATAGTCACTGGAATTGTCACAAACATTTCAAGACAATGAAAAATGTTTAATACTGTTTTAACCAATCGAGCCATTTGTATATAGAACCTGAGTTTGTACCGTTTGGTGAATTTTCTTGGGGTATTGATAAAATAGTATAATCATTTTTCATTTGAATAACATTGAATATATTGTTATATTATTATATTAATATCTGCACGCTCAGGCGCATGTCAATAATTTCGATTCCGTCAAATATACACCATGCTATTCATATGCCAAAAAAACCCAAAAGCTAGGCAAAATTGTATGAGTTAGATTTGACGGATTTTAATTTTGAAAATGGATATTAATTAGTTATTTTGTTGGTTAGGGAATGGTTATACAAATTCTTCGATAAAATATCTACAATTTAAAAAAGAAGAATTTTGGTTTTTTATATATTTATGTATGTCATTATAATTTGTAAAAATGATAAATTTCCAAGGCTTTGCTTTAGAAGAGTTGTTGAAGATTTTTAATTAGTTTCCAAAATTAAAATCCGTTAAACCAAATCCCACAGTTTTTTCTAGCTTTTGGCCTGTTCTACGTGATAATTTCTTCCTGTTTCTCAATGCACCAGTTGGAAATAATGTAAACATCTTTTACAGTCGAATATATACTGTGTAGTACTTAGTCCTATCAACAAATATATGCAATCAAACCAGAAATGTGCAAATTATTTTTAATAAATTGAAAAAGAAAATTTTTTTATCAAAAATTAGTATTTTTAAAAGTATAACTACAAATAATGTAGTATTTACTACAGGATAGTTTTAAAACATTTACTTTTTTCAATGTATTAAAAATAATTAACACATTTCTAGTTTAATTACGTATGTTGGTTGATAAAATTGTAATCAAAGAGAAATACACAAATAATCATAATAATAATTCACGTAACTTCGATAACTGCAATACGATATTAAATATGAGTAATTATTTTCTTGTACTTTTCTTATTCTTATTTTTTTTTATTACAATTGAAAACAGTCTTCAAGAATCGGTTAAACTAAATGTTCATATTATGTATAATGCTTTTAGATTGTGTCCAGGAGTTTTATTTTTCCTTTCTAGTTGTCAACACCATTAAAAAATCTAAAAAAAAAAAAAAAAAAATAATATAACAAAATATTACAAAATGGCTGTAAATAACCATTGCTTCAAACATTCATTTTAAATTAAGCTAATTTTAAACAGACCTATAACTGTGAAACTAAATGTCAATTATTTAATTATATTTTATATTATTATAATATACTGTAAGTATAATATTATAGTTTTGACCTATAAATGTCCTACTCACTTTTATGTAATTTGTCATAGTAAAAAGCTAGTATTATTCATAAATCATATAATAATTAATTTTTAATCTTGCCGTGATTATAATATTTAAAAATTGTATTTTTGGCGGGTAATTTAACGGCCATTGAATTGAGGCGAACCACTACTATGGCTGGGAAGGGTGGGCTAACCGGACCAAAACTCGTATCGTTGCTAACATCATTACCCATTTTGTCATGAACGCACCCGGCTTGCCTGTCATGTCATTTCGAGTTTTTGCGTCGGCAGACGGGCATGTGTGTTTTACTCTCGTCATCCATTTTTTCAACCATGTGGAATAACCTAATTCACTGACGCTACTTTTTGCTGTTTAGCATTATGTCATATAACGGGTATGTACTTTTCACAATAACGACGTGTAAATGCATGTAATTTTATCTCTCGTTATTGTCTCGGGCGCAGATCGTTAATACGGTGTCCATTTTGTTTGTTTTAAATTTGCTATGTTGTGCACTCGTGAGACAGAGACAATACCTAGAAGCGTGTGTGTGGCTTCCTCTTGACCTTTATAATTATGATTTTTGTCGTGTTTATCTCAAATCGATATCGAATTATGGATATTGTTGCCCATCACTATTTTTATAATGTCTGTATTCTTAAATATTCGACCAGATGAATGTACTCCATCGTCCTGAGGTCTAATACCCCCACAACTTGTCTACCATTTTAAGTAAATATGTATATTATATATGTACACTACGGTGGTAGTGATGGCGGCCGACGCGATGCGTAAACGCTGGTATAGTGGTAGGAACACGCACAAGTGAATGAGTCTGGGATGCTGCCCAGTTTCGTTCTCTCTGTAAACGCAGTATCGTTCTAAATTCGATGTTGCTACGAATATATACCAAGGCATGAAGGCGTAAATAATATAAAATTGTATGTATAATTGTACATAATGTACAGTGTCAATTAAATGTTGAGAGGACGCTACACGGCCATTTTTGGTACATGTTAACAACCCCCCCCCCTGTAATCACCACTGAGTCAATGCCGTTGACCGACGCAGCTGCTGAAACTCACGAACGATGCCGAATTGCCGACCTTCGGTCGCACATCATTGCCAGATTTCCTTATCTAAACGGTAACATTCGAATTGTCTCCCACCTTTTTGGAATACTATGCAACGCACAGAATCCCGTGTGCTGTGAGTCCCACGAAATTATTCATTAGTTTTTATCCTGACAAAAAAATTGCACCTTGAGACGGCAAATTCATATTATTATTAAAAAACTATGACTTACGACAACAAATCCTAATCATCAAAAAAATAACGTCTAGCGACGATCAAAAAAATTATCATTTCCCTTACATTAAAATATTATGTTATTTATATCCATATTTATAATAGTGTGGTAATAATAATAATCCCCTAATATGATAGTGTGTGGTAGGCCCCTAAAAAGGCAGAAATCTCAGAAATCATTTCCAAATTTTGTAAGATGAAGTATTCAGTGAGCGCGGCGCCAACCTCGTAGTTTCTTAATCATTATTTATTATATAATGTACATAAAATATTGAAACCAACAACGAATTATTTATAGTTTAATCTTTCACAAGAAATGTTCTTACAATTTTTCTTCATTTAAGCGTTTAAACGTTATAAAAATTTAAACGTTATGCAACTTAAGCTTTTAAACGTTTTACAAATTTACAAGTTATGAAGCTTTTAGAGTAATCTGATGGATATAGCTTGTTATTACACAAAATAGAATGATTGAAAAATATAAAATTACAAAAAAAACAATAATTTATATTTTACTGATAGGTAGTTATAATTTTATAAATATTTTTTTTCAGGCACTTATATGTTTCAATTGTTTCTTGTTTCTGTTTCGTTATCCGTTTCCAATCGTTTATCGTTTACCGATATGTTATCCGATAACCGTTAACATGTCCTGCCCATTGGAGTCTCCTTTTTTCAATTTTTCTAATTACATCATGCATTTGGTATAATCCTTACAAACAAGACTATTCGTTTTTTTGAATTCTAATTGGAAACTGAAAAACCAATCTGATGAGTTGTACTTAAAAAAAATAACAGCATAGAACACTAGTAGAATCCACGATAAAATAGGAATAATACATTTAAAATACAAGACTATAATGATTAATATGACATTTATCTCAAAATAATTAATTTAGTTTTGTTGTATTAATTGATTTCAGGAGCTTGATTATAAATAAGAGGAATACAGAAAAAGAAGATGGTAATACATATTCTATCAACGAAGGGCATGTTTAAAAAAAAAAGGAGTTGGAGTCAAATGGAATTAATATTTTAAAATTGGTATAACTAGAGAGAATGAAGCTCATAGATTTAAATCACAATTAAAATCTGCATTAAAATCCAATAAGATATTTATTTCTACCAGTATTGAGGAGGTATTCATGACCATTGATTATGTTGAATCTACTGAATTTGCAAGTTCATCAGCCAAAAATGTAAAACCAAAGATCCGTATCATAGATCCTTTTGAAATAATGGATCCTGATAGATACATAAGGTGGATGATAATTTGTTTTTCTGATATAATAAGCAAACCTCAAACAAATGGCCTAACAAACTTGGCAGTTGTAAAACCTTCTACAAGTGGACGAAAACCATCTTAACCTAGAATTAAAGTAAATGGATTTAAACACCATTTAAATGGCAAAAATCATTTTAGAGGGAATTTAATTGAAATTGAAAATTGTATAAAAAGTATTTTAGCAAATCTGTACAAGGTACTAAAGTGACCATTGCAAATATACTAAATGCAATTTAAATGTCTAATCAACATCACAATTCACGAATGGAGATAACATTTAACAAAATAACTGAAACAGTACAACGCATTAAAAGATGTGATGTCAGCCGATTACATGAAAGCAATCAAAATATTCTAGAAACAAAATTGAAGATCATTTTTATAGAAGTCATCTCTTGCAGAATTTGAAACTGAATTAGCATTTCAAATGTTCTTTCAAAGTTTTTTGACCTTTGCGCTAGCCAACTTTCAATGAAGGTATTTTCAAACTTTTCATAATTTTACTATGGAGAGATTTGAAAATCATTGAAGATAACGATCCAAAAATGAATTCAATGTTCTTTCCAATGAAATTTTGATGCTAATGCATCGATTTATTAAGTCTAATTTATGATTGTATGGATACTGCTCTCGGATTCGCCCATCGCATGACAATGTTTTTTGTATGAACAGTAAATAATCGGAAATATTTTCAACAATTTATTGATGCTGTAATCGGAGGTTCTAATAAAGATCTGGAGTTATTTATCGATAATGCTACTTTTGATTGTTCCATGAATCAAATATTGTAAGGTTCCTGTAGATTCTACTACACAATACTAAAATAACAGTCACTCAAACTATTCAAAACTCTAACAACTCAAATGAAACAATTAAACACGTTTTCCTACTGAATAATCCAAATGAAACATACCAGTAAGTTTTTTTTGTATCTTATTACTGTTTTTACCCTCTTAGTTGCTATAAAATATTTGATTTATACACAATTTTAGTATGTTTAGACCTCTAATAGTGATTTTGTATTTCAGTCTTATTAACGTAAACTTTAATTACATCTATAATAGTCAGATTAATTTTTATTAAAGCATATAGAGGTTTATAGTCATATTATAATTATTAATTAAGTATATGGTAATCTAAATATAATAACTTTTTAATATCAAAATATAATTGAAACACAAAATCCATATTATGTATTACATTTAACCTATTCCTTCTTTCTATGTCTTACATAATTATTGTAATTAAAATTAATATTAATTGGTTCTGTTATATTTTCAGGCGAATATCTGTGCTTCAATTGTAACGAGCCCGCCAACTTCCTTGAATCATTCTCCTTTGTCAGTGGTACTGATATACTAGTTAAACTGAGCCAACCATTTTTATCAAGGTATGTAAAATGCTTCAATATAAATTTTATAACATAGGTTGTGATGGTCTTAACTAACAAAAAACCAAATGATTTATGGTTAATTCACCAATTAATTAAATTGACGACTAACGAATGTCTTATTCGGCTTTCGACTAGTTATGAAATGATTCAGTTTTTAAAGAATCTGAAAATTGAGAATAAGTTATTATAATTTCATCATTACTAACCTCTTTTTTCCTATAAATTATTTAGAAAAGTCATAATTTGAAAATTATGAAGTATCTAAAATTTGAATAGAAGTTTTTGAGTTATTTAACTTTATGAACAAAGAATATATTTGTTTGGAAGATTAGGGGATATAATGATATAAAAATTATACAGTAATTAATCTATTGTCATTTTCATGTTTCTAAAAATGTTATGAGGATAATTAGTTTTAAATTATACATTATATAGGTACATTTTATTCTTTTTGAAAACGATTTATATGATCTATTATTCTTGTATTAATATAACACATTTTAATAACTCAGAAACTATACTAGTTTTAATTTAAATTTAGAGATATATAAGTACATAAAAATGGTGTCAAATTTGGAACATCATGGAAGTTATTGACATGTATAGTAGGTGTCGAGTGAGGCTCTAAATTAAGCAGGTCACCACAATGTATGTGTATAATATGATTTATGAATTCAATAATAAATAATTGAACACAAGTAGTTGTACTAGCCTTCCTAGTAACAAACAACGTAACTGATAATATACTTAGGTATAATTTATATAGAACAATTATTATCATTATGTTGTATATAACACATGTATAGATGGTGGTTTTACCCATAGTTGTACCATACGGTGGCTTTCAAATCATTTGATGGTCACTGATAAGGTAGTAGATACCAGTTCAGTATATCTTAGTCCGTGGTTAATATTACATTTTTGAGAATATTATATTTAATGATTCTAATACATTGACATTTTTTGTTGCTATGTTCAGATACTTCACAGGCAAAATACCCATTGGAAGACCTAGAATCAAGAGGAAATATGTATTGAAGAATAATGTGGAAGAGCTAGGCGGCGGAACAGATTTGATGACCAGAACTGACCAGGAGGGATGGATAGAATGCTGTATGTTAGGATGGTCCGAAATGATGTTTTTTCTAGGAACCTGTATTGAATTGTTTTATTTGAGTTGATAGAGTTTGGAATAGTTTGAGTTACTGGTATTTTAGTATTGTGTAGTAGAATCTACAAGAACCTTACAATATTTGATTCATGGAACAATGAAAAGTAGCATTATCGATAAATAACTCCAGATCTTTATTAGAACCTCCGATTACAGCATCAATAAATTGTTGAAAATATTTCCGATTATTTACTGTTCATACAAAAAACAATGTCATGCGATGGTCGAATCCGAGAGCAATATCCATACAAGCATAAATTAGACTTATTAAATCGATGCATTCGCATCAAAATTTCATTGGAAAGAACATTGAATTCATTTTTGGATCCTTATCTTCAATGATTTTCAAATCTCTCCATAGTAAAATTATGAAACGTTTGAAGATACCTTCATTGAAAGTTGGCTAGTACAAAGGTCAAAGTACAGCTTATAAACTTTGAAAGAACATTTGAAATGCCAATTCAGTTTCCAATTCTGCAAGAGATGACTTCTATAAAAATGATCTTCAATTTTGTTTCTAGAATATTTTGATTGCTTTCATGTAATCGGCTGACATCACATCTTTTAATGCGTTGTACTGTTTCAGTTATTTTGTTAAATGTTATCTCCATTCGTGAATTGTGATGTTGATTAGACATTTAAATTGCATTTAGTATATTTGCAATGGTCACTTTAGTACCTTGTACAGATTTGCTAAAATACTTTTTATACAATTTTCAATTTCAATTAAATTCCCTCTAAAATGATTTTTGCCATTTAAATGGTGTTTAAATCCATTTACTTTAATTCTAGGTAAAGATGATTTGGGTCCACTTGTTAACGGTTTTTCAACTGCCAACTTTGTTAGGCCATTTGTTTGACGTTTGGTTATTATATCAGAAAAACAAATCATCATCCACCTATGTATCTATCAGGATCCATTATTTCAAAAGGATCTATGATACGGATCTCTGGTTTAACATTTTTGGCTGATGAACTTGCAAATTCAGTAGACTCAACATAATCAATGTCCATGAATACCTCAGTACTGGCAGAAATAAATTTCTTATTGGATTCTAATGCAGATTTTAATTGTGATTTAAATTTATGAGTTTCATTCTCTCTAGTGATACCAATTTTAAAATATCAATTCTATTTGACTCCAACTTCTTTTTTTTTTTGCATTCTCATCGTCTATAGATTTATTACCAAGTTTTTTGGGTTCATTATCCTTATTTTTATTCTAGTTTTTAAAATCAATTTTTAGTATTCTAAATGAGGACAATGTATTAAATAATTATACTTAAAAATATGTATATTTTGTTATGTTAATTTAGTTTTTACCTATATTTGTAATATTATAATTTAATTATTAATTTTTTTTATTAATCCAGTACTATTTTGTCCTTTTTATATATTTTATATTTTACAGTCTTACCATTGTGTACATGAAACAGTTATACTATATATATAATATTTTAGTATGTTTAACAGTACAATTTTTGTTTTAATTATAATTAATTGATTAATATTATTATTATTTATTACCCAAACATTTTCAAAACGCAATTTTTTATTAATGGAGTACGAATATAAAGTATTTTTTTGGATTCACCGTTCACACTTATATTGTTACATTATTACCTTAACAATATTACTATATTTTCACACTTCTATCATAAACTTTAATGAAGAAATTGATAACTGTAGACAAGGTACCTACCAGACATTTACCATTGTAAAATTAGTATAACACTAAAGTAATAGTATTAACAATTTAGTATACTAAAGGTGCTGAAATATCAATCAAATCGCATTGTCTATCATTGCAGTTGCTTACAACATTTAGGTATCGGAAAAAGTCTTAAATTTTGGAATGTTGAAGCTGAAAGCTGAATGCTCGAAGTCGAACAAATTTAATGAACAATAATGAATGTTATAAGATTATAGGTATGCGTAATATGTTTTAAATACGCTTCGTGCAACAACCACTTCCCATTTTAATTTTTTTTTGTTATCATTATATTATTTGTTTTATTATTATATTACCCGCGTCTTTCGTAATTTTGATTTTGAACAAGCGAACCGTTTGATTTTTGCGGACTTATTTCTGGTTATTTTTGTTAAAAATGTTAGGTATTTATGTCTTTCGTAATTTTGATATTGAACGAGCGAAAAGTACGATTTTTGCGAACTTGTTTCTGATTATTTTTGTTAAAAATATCATTATTACGAAAGACGCGGCTAATATAATAATAAAATAAACAATAAAATATAAAAAAAAAAATTAAATGGGTACCTAGTGGTTGCTACAAGAAAGAGGTCATCACTGTAAATAATAGACTATGTTTTTTTCCCGTTGAAGTCACTGCTGGATCACTGGTATAAATCGTGGTACTGATAATCCCTTAACATATTTCAAACCACTGCACTACTGCAGCAAGCCTGCAAACTTCAAGTTCGCGATTCTAGCGATTAGTAGCAACCACTACCCGTTTTAATTTTTTTTTTAAATATTGTGTTCGATTAGCCGCGTTTTTCGTAATTTTGATTTTGATCAAGCGAAACGTACGATTATTGCGAACTTATTTCTGGTTATTTTTGTTAAAAATATCATTATTTTTTATTTTAGTTAGTATACACTTACATAATAATGGTTTTCAATCATCTTACGTCCAAACAAGTTTTGGAGTTCTTGCCTTTGAACACATGGACCGAGGAATGTTCATAAACTATAATAGTTGAGCTTTTTACTTTTGAATGTTTGATATTATGGAGGGTATTAATATTATATATTTATTATTCATTTTTACTTTTATGTAATCAGTAATTATTATTAACGAAGTACAAGGATTGTTCCAAATAGTTCATAGTATACATACATGCTCGTTATAAATTTCAAACGGTGGTGGCCTACAGTCTTGTATAAATACAAGTGCAATGGTTGAGCATGCAGTCAGTCATTAAACTTTTTCTTTAATATATTAATATTTTTTCCAAATAGGTAGCTGTATTGCTCTACTAAATAGACCAAAAGCTGTATAAGACATATTATATACTTATCTATAGTATTAAAAAAATTTACCTCTAATAAATTAAAAATTAATCATATCACAATATTCATTAGGTACTTATAATGCATTATACGTCAACAACAAACCCTGATACTATCATAGTCCATACTCCATAGATATATAATAGTGTACTTTAGAAGTTTCAAGTACCCACTGTACCAAAGTACCAACAATTCTGATCATATCAATATTCTGATTCTATCAAGTAGGCAATCTATAACTATACAGACTAAACTCTGGAACTGCTTATCAGATCTTCGTATAATAATTATAATAATAATAATCTACTCATAATAATAATACTGATTGAATATGTATACGTACAATAACAAATCGTCGATGTATGTAATAAATTGTTTGTTTGTTCTCGTGGCAACGAATTAAAACGATTCACTATAATTCTGGATTGAAATTTCTAGAACGAATCGTTTTATACCACGTCACTCATGGCAACCATTTATAAACAAAATTTAAATCTTAAATATCAAAATTCCCGTTTGAGCACCTCCAGGTCGGGTTGGTCCTCTCCCTTTTTAAATTAGCCTATCTTTTAAGTTTGAACAAATTATACAAAGTGTAAGAATTTCATCAGGATCGGTCCAGTAGTTTCGGAGTTTCTCCCGGACAAACACGTGACACGAGATTTTTATATAATATATTATAAGATTGGGTACAATGAATAATTTAGTATTTGTGGATTTGGTTTTATTGGATTTTATTTTCGAAAAAATAATTATTGAATTTATCTATGATTGATTGTAAAATTGTCCCTGTTAATTTATTATTACCTATTATTAAAAAACTACTAACTACAGAATCGAACTGAACACAGGAAATACATACAAAATTATATAATATAACTTAAATATATTGTATTATTGTAATATACAAAATTATTCGGGTTTTGGTCAATTCAAAAACAAAATAGATTTGGATTTTATTTGGATATTCTGGTGGGTTATAATTTTATAAGGTATGATTTATTTTCCCCGAAAACAACGCCCTTAAGGGGTATGCATACCGACCGTTTCTAAGGAGTTCAATATAGGCAATTTTCTAATTGTGTGCATGCCGGTCGTGTAAATGTATGAGTAGTAAGTGATTATTAGTGTGAGTGACAGTGTATAAAATGAATAGTGGAGCACACCCGCACGTACACTCACATGTCGGTAACGTAACATTTTACACTCTAATTACAAATGTGAATTTTAGTGAAACACTGAAACTTAGTTTCGTATTTCCAATAATAGAGCTTACCGAGTGACATTACAGTATGAACACCTATTATACAAATTGAAGAGAAGAAGTGTATCTAGGCTTTTATAGGAGTCGATTTTCGATATATTATTTTCAACGTCCAATATTAAACTCTAAAACTTGTGATATTTTACTTTTTGAATTTGAATTATTGAGTTTAGTAATTACAAATATCAAAAATTTACTTCTATCCAGGCACAGATCAACTTCTCATCTACAATATTGATAATAGGTGTTTTTACTCTCAAACTGCTCAATAAAACATATTATTGGAAATACAAAAGTACATTTTCATAGATTTTTTCAATACTATTCATACCCCTTAATCAACATTGCTGACAAAAAATCTAATTTTGTTCCCAAAAATCTATCAATAAATAAACAATATTTTACTTATAAAGTTATTTGAAGTTTCAATATTTACAAAATTGTAGCAATGTAAGTAATTTTGTTGGAATCCTAAAATATTATTCCGAGGATCTTAAGTCTTATAATGTAAGCCAAGACCAGAATATTTGGTAACTAACATTATTATTATATTTTGAAAACTTATCGATAAGCATTCATCTGAAATTCAAAAGTGTCCTAAGTATACAACCACGTCTCGTTTCACAGCCTTCTTATAAAAAACATACAGATACAATCATTATTTGTTTGGAGGTTTTAATGTCGTTATTACTATTGTACCGATATATCTGAT